GTAAATCTGTAAAGTAGAATGACACTGGTCTACATTAGCATTTTCCAAATCCTGTTTTGTAGGATCCTGGTTCATTGAGATATACTAATAGGTTCCATGGTCAAGTGAGTTAGAAAAATGCCGCACATTGTATTGCCCTTGCGGAGATTCATATTGCTTATTAAACTGGTGGAGGCTTTGAGGGAACTTGTTTAACCAAGTATTACCAAATCTTTTTGATTATTAAATTCTCCTCTCCTTCCCCTTGGAATACCTCTGAGAATTAGATGAACACAGTTTGAGTAATGCTAGTATAGATTATTAAAGTCCTTTCTAGCTATATAGTATGAAGATAGCAATTACAGTGCCAGTTAAAGTAGCTTACTGGTAATCAAGGAATTGGAAAGATAATTCTCCTTTTAAAGTGGCAGAATAATAGACATCTTTGAAAATGGTTTCAATAATTTCCAACTCTGTCAATACAGGCAATGTATATATGGAAGAATAATTATAATAGTCCCAGTTGTGCTCTGTGTTTTATACAAAATATGTTATGAGAAGTTATAGGATCCATTAAATCTTTTGAAGGTAGCATGCATACTAAATCTGTTTCCTCTAGTTGGAAAAATGAGAGAACTCTTAATTTCAGAAAAGTTATATAAGGTGTTCAGAGTTATACAGATTATTTAACTTTAATATAAGAGCTTAGTCTTTTTCTGATTCTTGGCTTTTGTTGTTGGTCAGTAACCAATTATTGACGATCATTTGGCCAAGTGACCAGAAAACCAAAAGCATTCGTATTATTTATTTTTTAAAGTGTGTGTGTGTGCGTGTGTGTGTATCAACTTCTTTTGGAGGGGCCACTGGCCAAGCTCAATGTGATACCGTTGCACTGACTCCAAGTGGCATCATTCACATTTTCTTTTAAGTAAATGGCATTCCCTTAAAGATAGAACCACGATGGCACACCTGAAGTTGGGCTCTGATGCTGGATTGATTTATGTAAGGCTTTCTCCTTTGTGGGCTTATGTTTTCTTGTATTTTCTGAGTTTCAGATGTCAAATATCAGAAATGCTAAAGATTTTCTAATAATGACTGGCTTCTCTCTTTCAAGTATGTCTTAGTTCACAGATTTGCTTTCTCAGGTGGATGAGAAAGATGATTTCAGAGCTGATACATAAGAAATTATACCTGGGAGTGTGTAGTATGTGATATGTACTCATTTGTGCACATGTGAATTCATACACCCTCTCAGACTCAGACCCTCCCCCAACTATTTGTGTAAGCACTTGACTAATATAATGTGTCTGTCTGTGATTGGTGTTAAGTGACGATATATTTAGCTCACCTATCATATTGGCACATTGATTTTCACTGGATTCAATTTTGGTTGATTTGTCATTTGGTAATTTGGTTTTTAGCTAATTAACCAAAAGCCATTTGAAATTGTAAGTCATCTCAGAGCATTGCAAAATATTTATGGTTTCATAGACTCTTTTAGGACTTTTCTTTGCATTCAGAACACCCTTAGCCAGGAGTTAATATGGGAATTTTAGAAAGGAAATACTTGCTTAGAATAATGTTCATTTTCAGATATAATTTTTGTGATTAGGAACTAGAATCACATTTTCTCTCATCTCTCTTTAATGATTAGATTTTTATAAATATGCTTATAAGAATATATAATGGTTTAATAGAATCTTAGATTCTTTTTTTTTTTTTTAAGTTTATTTATTTTGAGAGAAAGAGAAGTGCATGTATGTGCATGGGTGGGGCAGAGAGAGAGAATCCCAAGAAGGCTCTGCATGGTCAGTGTGGGACCCAGTGCGGGGCTTGAACTCAAAAACCGTGAGGTTGTGACCTGAGCTGAAATCAGGAGTTGGACGCTTAACTGACTGCACCACCCAGGCTCCCCTAGGGTCTTGAATTCTGTAATCTAATAAGCTCAAATGTTCAAATATGATCCTAATGCTAATATTTTATTAGTTTGTTAAATTATTTTGTGTAAATTGTTAACCATCTCAAATGTCTGTTACATCAAATTAATGGTATACTCCTTATAATAAGATTTAGAAATTTAATTTCTATTGCAAATATCTTAAAGGGCAAATCCAAAAATGAATGAATGTATATTTCCCAGTGTAGAATATAATATTACCCTAAAAAAAAAAAATAAAAAAGGAAAGATCAGGTTAAATAACAGTTACCCAACTAGATTTTGGGTAAATTTAGCATCTTAATCTATAGATTATATGAATTTTCTTGGACATTGGGACATAGGAATAAAGTAAGAAATACTTCATTTGCTGGGGCGCCTGGGTGGCGCAGTCGGTTAAGCGTCCGACTTCAGCCAGGTCACGATCTCGCGGTCTGTGGGTTCGAGCCCCGCATCAGGCTCTGGGCTGATGGCTCGGAGCCTGGAGCCTGTTTCCGATTCTGTGTCTCCCTCTCTCTCTGCCCCTCGCCCGTTTATGCTCTGTCTCTCTCTGTCCCAAAAATAAATAAATAAAAAAAAAAAAAACGTTGAAAGAAAAAAAAAAAAGAAATACTTCATTTGGACAGCTTCGGTGCTTAATTCCAGCGCATCATTTGCAAAATAATTCTGATTAATACAAATTTTTAATACTTACGAGAAGTTAGCAAATTTGTTTACTCTTTATACTATATTTGGGTCTCATCTATAGCTTTGGCTATACCTATGCATATATATTAGCATATACAGAGTATCATGGAATATGAATTACTGGCTTTTTAAAGTCATTTTTAGTACTGTTTTTCTTTAAGTTCTTAATTGAAGTTGCTTTTATATTGATTGTTTTGAGATAAAGTACTTCTAAATTTACTGCCCAAGTAAGAAAAAAACATATTTGGGAAGGGAGAATTGTATATTAATATAGGAGACATATTATCTTCAGGTTAATGTATTTGTTACCAGCCTCAATTTGTCCCATTTAGTTACTACAAGTATCTTTTGTCCATTTTTTCCCCATTACTATGATTGAAACTACAGAGCTGTGGTAGTTTTTACACTCCTTTATTGGTTTAGTTGGCCAATAACTTATTGGCTCCCTGAATTTAGACCTATGGCCACCTTACTCCAACCTGTTTCCTCAGGCTCTCCCACTGACTTTATTATTCCTGCCTGTGCTTGGGGCACAGAGATAAACTAACTTGGTCATCATTATTAAGTCAACATTTTGACCTTACATTTTTCTTTCTAGAATAGAGTTTTTGACCTTAGCTCCTTGTGCCTTATACTCCCAACCATAGTAGTTCTTATCTTTTGGTTTCACTAACAATGTTGCCTTCATAATGAATCTTTTCCCTTTGCCTCTTCCTTCCTTGTTCCCAAATCTTTGCAAGGATTAAAGACTCTAAATGCAAATTCTGGCTGTGTGTTTCTATCTTCTTTTGGACTTTTAGATTACCCGTGTTTATATCAGAAATTATCTGTTAGATATAGAATAAATCACAAAACTTCCATTAGTAGTAGATGACCTGTTGTTTTAATCCTGTGAGCTACCTTAGCATGGAATTAGCTTATAGCATTAATGTCATTGGATACCGTGACTAAAATGTCCAACGTATAAACACAGTTGAATTGATAAATCTCAGCATTTAGTGGGTGAAGTAAAGTTTCATTTCCTTACCTATCCTTACTTCTCTTTGTCTTTGAAAATTTTTTTACCTTGTTGAAGAAATACATTTTCCATTGTTCCCTTACTATAATACTTAACGTAAAATTTCTCAGATTATAGTCTTACTGGGTTTGATGAGAAAAAATAGCATTTTAGATGAAAAACTTTACCAAGTTATTATTGAGTGAAATTTTCTATAGATAAAAATTAAACAGAACTTTTAGGCCAGAACATTTCTGTTTCACTTTAGGCCACCAATTGAAAATAATCTCACTTTTTAAATGAACATGCGCCATCCCCTGAACCACTGGCAGTTATTTCTGGTATCTAATCTATGTATGAATAGCCTCGATAAAGAAATGTGGACACAATTCTCCTTTTCCATCACACTTCTGTTTTTCACAAATCCTGTTGTGAAAACATTTCTCTTGTGCTCTGGTTCAATCAAGGTTACATAGTGTGAAGGGCCTTTGGGTGGCTCAGTTGATTAAGCATCCGACCTCGTGGTTTGTGAGTTCAAGCCCTGCATCCCACACTGTCAGTGAGGAGCCTGCCTGGGATTCTCTCTCTCCTTCTCCCTCTCTGCCCCTCCCCCCTTGCTTGTGCTATCTCTCTCTCTCTCTCTCTCTCTCTCTCTCTCTCTCTCTCAAAGTAAATACGCTTTAAAAAACAAAATCCCCCAAAACTATATAGTGTAATTTTTACAAAGTAGAAAATGATACAGAAAGCCAAGTTGGAGCAAGGGGAATTTGGAACTATTTATGGAGTGTAAAGATAGTATCAAGGGGACAGGATTGAAGTATCCTTTGTAAAAATAAGAAATGAAATGCAAAAATGGTACCAGTAATAAGGCCTTTTTTTTTTTTTTTTTTTTTTTTTAAAATCTCTTACGAATGTTTCCATTTTGGACTGGTATGTTAAGTTTCTCAAACTTTGTATTAAAAGATTTACAAAGATAACACTAGATACTCAGCTTCCTCTAATGCTCACAGGAGAGTTTTATAATTGTATTCTCTAAATGAATAGTTTTATTGCTGTGGCTCTGCCTTTATACATTGGTAAAAATTTTTTGACAGTCTACATATTAAGAGTGAATCACAGCCTGAAGTCATTTTAAATCCCTGTTTCTAATAAGATGGGCTACTGAAGGTACTATTTATAACTTGGTTTGAACTTCTTAATTCTTTTTTAAAGTGTTCAGGTGGGTTATGTGGTTGTTTTGTTTTTAAACACAGCAGTGCCAAAATGTAAAACTTCTTAAAAAGCATAGTCAGGGTAAGATAATCTATCTTCCATGACTCATTTATCTTAAGTTTATTGTTCTTTAGAGCTTTTTGGCTTATATTGTCATATTAATGTTGTCTATTAATTTCTTTCCTACAGCATGGATTTGTGGTATCATTTCTATCACTGTCATTAGCCTGCTTTCCTTGCTAGGCGTGATCTTGGTTCCCATCATTAACCAAGGATGCTTCAAATTTCTTCTCACATTCCTTGTTGCATTAGCTGTAGGAACAATGAGTGGAGACGCCCTTCTTCATCTACTGCCCCATGTAAGAAATCTTTTTAATCTTTAAAAAAACAAAACAAAAATAAAAATATTTAAGCTAAAAAGGTCCTTCATTAGCAAACTATAGTACACTAATCTAGTATTTGTTGTATTTGCCTATAGGATGAAGTCTTTTTTCCATTTGCATAGTTTTAATAGCAATAGTTTTGAAGTAAATTGAGTCATTAGGTTTTAATATAGCAACAAAAATTGGTTACATCAGTATTACTTTTTCCTGCCACAACGTATACATACCAAATCACCACAGTGTACTCTTTAAATACAGTTTTATATGTCAGTTTAATCTGGGTAGAGCTGAAATTTACAAAAAATTGCTCTATTAGCAGTTCTGTAAATGAATACTTAAAAAGATACACCACTCATTGATTTTTATCTGTATGCTATATCAAGAAAGCCATTAGGAGAAATGTAGAAGTGGTCTTATGATTGTGCTGTATAGTCAGTGTGCCCCAGTTATCTTTATTTGATCAAGAATAGGCTGACATATTCAGTTAACAATTTAGTTAACTAATTTCAGTTATAGGCTTTTAGCTCCTTACATATGGGGCCATTTATGTTTTCTCCCGAAATACCACTTATTTTCTTCTATTTCAGGACCCTTCTAATAGTATCATATGCCCACACTTCTGGTACCATGCTTAGCAACCTTTTAAAATCTGTTATCAGTTAGTATTTTATACAGTGTTACTGCTTTTACTTCAAGTGATGAAAACACTGGGGCTTTTTCTTTTCCAAATGTAAAATTACAGGTTTGAATGTTTTTTTTAAATATTCTTACCACCTCCTTTGGAGTATTGGGGAAACAGATTTGCGTTTTTTAAGTAATCTCTGTACCCATTGTGGGGCTTGAACTCACAACCCAGAGATCAAGAGTTGGGCGCTCTACCAAATGAGCCAGCCAGGCACTCCCAGAATTGTTACTTGTGTGTTTTGTATACTTCTCTTCCCCTTCTTCACTCAGAGGAATTGGTTCAGAATTCCAGATTTGGTATCTGGAATACCATATGACACTGCCTTAAAAAAATTGATTAATAAATCTTAAACTGTGAATGTAAATTTTTAAAAATTGATTCATTATGTTATTTACTGATTTCCTCCTTTATTCCTACCCCTGGCTTTCCCTTTTTACCATCATCAAGAATAGCCACAAAATTTCAAAACTGGGCCTATTAAGAACAGTTGATTGAAGTGAGAACAGTCTCCAGGTGCTATTTGACTTATTTTTTTTCTTAAGTATTAATTACGTAAAGCTGTTACCTTTTTAAATGGCCTTACCGTCTTTGAGAAGTTTAGAAATCTCTTCTCTTGACTGCTAGCAGATGGAGAAAAAATACAGATAACTGTTATAAGGAAGGGAAATACTTAAGACCAGATCTCTAATTTTTAAGATTGTTATTGTGGAACTTGTACGTTTGACAATTAAAAAGTACCCATTTCTATATTTTTTGCTAAAGCTTTAAACTGTAGAAAAATAAACACATGTGTGAGTATATACTTATTATGTTCCACAGTTTGTAAGTACAGGTAGCATCTCATCACTTCTTTAATTTATAAGAGAAAAGCATAAAAATATAATCAGTTTAAGAAAAAGATTACAGGGAGTCACAGGTTGTGACCGACAGGTGAATTAGTTTGTTTTTACTAAATGTTAGACATCTGGGTCATGTTCACTTTGGTTTAAAAAGGACCCATGCTTCCTAATATCTTAATGCTGCTTGATTTTCTCACTGTAGTGTGTGTCAGCTCCTATAGCCATTTGAGTTTGTGGTCTTTGTTTTAGAGTTACCATGAAATGTAATACTTTCCAGGCCACTGAATACAGACAGCAAAATTAAATAAAAGGCTACTTATATTTATGTGAGATAATATTTAGAGAACCACTTTAAAAATTGAAAGGTATTTTTTTGTGTGTCCTAGCAGATTATAGTCTCAAAATTTTAAAAAGCATCTTTAATTACTTGTTTAGAAGTTTTTGTTATTCTTATTAATAGTCTCAGGGTGGACATGATCATAGTCATCAACATGCACATGGGCATGGACATTCTCATGGACACGAATCTAAGAAGTTTTTGGAGGAATATGATGCCGTATTGAAAGGACTTGTCGCTCTAGGAGGCATTTACTTGTTATTTATCATTGAACACTGCATTAGAATGTTTAAGCACTACAAGCAGCAAAGAGTAAGTACTTTGTAATGATTTCTTCCGTTTTCTGAGATACGAAACTCAAAAAAAATTTGTTTTCTGGCCACATGCTTAATTATGATGTTGGTGTGTGTTCAAGGAAACATTGACTTTGATCTTTGCCATTTTTATGTATATATTTTGTATATGTATGTATTTTGTATATATTTCCTTGAGACAAAATATGGTTTAGAACAGAGCTCTAAACTGGGACTCAGGGGGAGTGATTCTAATTCTTGCCCAGCTACAAAATAGCTGTGAAAACTATGACTCATTCCTTGTGATTTCCAGTTGCTATATAAATCTGTGGGAAATAAGCCCTACTTTTCGTCTGTATTTTCATATCATATTCCAAGTAGTGTATTTAATTTTAATTGCTATATTTTATTCAGGGTGTTGCCATATTTAAGTGCCTTCAAAGGCAGGTTGATCAAGATGATGTGCAAGTGAATTATTATCTGAGGAATGGTAGAACGAACTAGGAAAGGATCAAAAGTGAAAGAAACCTAACAGCATTTGGTTTTCAGAGGGTGTATGGAAAGGTGGATGGGTGAAGAATGGAGTGTTGGTAGGAGGGATGCCAAGGTGAGAGTGGCCGGAGAGAAATGAGTCAGAAGAGAGGTGATGGGGGCTTGAAGTAGAGTCATGTCATGAGGAATAGGAAAGATAAGGTGATTAAGAGAACTATTTAAAATTTTAATGATTATTTATTTTTGAGAGAGAGAGTGTGAGTGGGGTGGGGGCAGAGAGTGAGAGCGAGAGAATCCAAAGCAGGCTCCAGGCTCTGAGCTGTCAGCACAGAGCCAGAAGAGGGGGCTCAAACCCATGAACCATGAGATCATGACCTGAGCCAAAGTCAGACACTTAACCAACTCAGCCACCCAGGTGCCCCAGAACCATTTAAATGAGAGAATCAATATGATTTAATTGTTGATGACATTCAAGAAATAGAAGTATTTTAGGGTCCATCTCTGAGTACATAATTTAGAATACAGTTATATATTGCAAAGTATATAGAGAAGTTTTGACATTCCTGTGAAGCTCAATTTTCTTCAGTTGTGTGTACCTGCTAACACAGAAGCAGCAAATATTCATATTTAATTGTACAGAATATTAGGGACTGCATAATTTACCGGTAAGTATAAAATGTAGTCTTTTAAGAGGTAGTTCAAAGTAAACATGTTTTCTGTTTTTTATAATTTAATCTTGATCTCATTTTACATTTAAATTTACTGGGAAAATTAACATGTTTATTTTTGTAAACTAATGTAGAAGAATAGAATCTCCAGAACATGGCAGCTCTTTAGAAATCTGATATTGAAAGAAGTAAATAAATTAAAAGAATTTGATTAGATAAATCAATGGAACACCATTAAAGGGGTACTCTGTATCTAATAGTAAGGAATTCTTCAAGGATATCAAAGAGAGGAATCTGTGCAGATAAATCAGTGTGTCTCCTTTATGATAAATAGGACAGTGAGTAACCAAAGATGAAAAAGTGTATGGCATTGTTTTGAAGAAAAGGAATTAGTGATCCTTGAATAGAACAGACGTTTGACCATCTGCAAAGAAGAGTCAGTTATTGGAAGGAAGCTTTCAGAGCATACATTAAGTAATACATCCGATGAGGACTGGTTTCAGCAAATTGGGGCTTTGAGGGTAGTGATTTGGCAAGTTTTCAGGAAAGTGGACAAGGACAATCTGAACCAAAGCAGCTGAACACAATCCCAGCTGGTGTTGTACATTTTCTTCTTTTCTCTTTTGTGCTATGGTTGGCTTTTTTTCCCTTCCCCCCACTTTTCTCCTTTCTACTTCATCTCATGGCTGCTGTTTCTTTTCTTTGGTTGTCTCCATACTACTCCTTTTGAACATTTTGTGTTCCCCCAGTTTCTGTTACTTATTGCTACGAAGCAGAATAACCCACAATTTAATGACTTATAACAACATTTTATTATTTCTCGTAATTCTGTCAGAAAGTTAGGCAGGATTCAGCCGAGCAGTCCTTTTGTTCCACCTACCATCAGCTACACTCACTCACTGTACTACATTCAAACTCAGCTGGCCTGGGTTGGCCTCAACAGGGCAGGGGTAGGAGGCCCATGAATGTGTATGTCTGCATCTAGTGTCCTCCACATGGCCTCTATTTTTAAAAAAAAATTTTTTTAACATTTATTCATCTTTGAGAGACAGAGCATGAGTGGGGAAGGGGTAGAGAGAGGGAGACACAGAGTCCGAAGCAGTCTCCAGGCTCTGAGCTGTCAGCACAGAGCCCTACACGGGGCTCGAACTCACGAACTGCAAGATCATGACCTGAGCCAAAGTCAGTCGCTCAACTGACCGAGCCACCCAGGTGCCCACACATGGCCTCTGTTTAGAGCCTAGGCTGAGTTTCTTCACAGATTAGTGGCTAGCTTCCTTGAGCAAAAAAGCAAAAGGTGTCAGGTTTCATACTAGTTCCAGAACTGGTCCATCATTTTCTTGCATTCTGTTGATCAAAGCAAGTTAAAGGGGAAGAGGTTATTTGTTCTCATAAACTTACATAGATCGGAAATAGAACTTTAAGTTGGAAGAGTTGTTAAAGGTAGTTACACAGTTACATTGCTAAAAGAAGAAAGCAGACTATTAAGAGATAGGAAAATTAAAACCTAAACAATGAAATACAATACTTAGGATTTATTAATAAGTGAGGATAGATGAGATGAGAAAGAAAACTTACCTTTATTGCGAAGCTGTTAAGAGTCGGTTACCGATAGGTCATTTTTTCACACATCACCTCATTTAATCCTAAGAATCTATCATTTTAATTTTACAGATGAGTATTCTTATGGTTTAATAAACTTAACTGCCCAATTCTCACAGAAGTAAACTACAAAGTTTGTGATTTTAACTCAAATTTGACCCTGCCCATTATGTCACATGTAGGGAAATGTAAGATTGCATTAAACACAATGAAATTCAAAGGGAATAACCTTTAGTTTTTTGGAACTTCCTATTCCCATGCACTATTAAATAAGATAGATATTAAATATATTTCACACATTTCATTTGGTTGCATGTAATATAGTACTGTGTACTGTATTCTGTACTTTGAAGTAGATGAGTTGATCCTTTCAGTTGAGTGTTTGAAAAAAAAAAAAAGCAACAACATAGAAATTTAGCTGAATATTTTATAATGAGACCCCTTGATTAATTTCTAAAAATTTTTTCTTTTTTTCCTAAGTAATTTATGAATAAAGTGTTACTACCACTTACCCCATAGATGTTAACAAGTGAATATTGTTGCTAGTTGTGGCTGCAGATTTGATACTAATACCAGATTTTTTTCAGGGAAAACAGAAATGGTTTATGAAGCAGAACACAGAAGAATCAACTATTGGAAGGAAGCTTTCAGATCATAAGTTAAATAATACACCAGATGCTGACTGGCTTCAGCTCAAGCCTCTTGCCGGTAGACAACAGTTCTGACTAAAGAGAAGCTTTTAAAATATAAACATTGAAATACTGCTTCTAACCTGTGCCTGTGTTTGAAATTTCTTGTTTTTGTGGCTTCCCTAATATTAGTTTCTAACTTTTGTATTTCCTAAAATGTGAGTGTATCTTGTGATTTTGTTTACTGTCTTGTCTATTTCAGCCTTATTAAAATGGAATGTGGGACTAATTATATCACAGGGCAAGGAACATATTGCACTTTTACTTTACAGAAAAAAAATGAAACAAACAAAAAGGCTTTGTAAGCAGTATACTCGTGTTATCTTTAGATCTTGGCAATGCAGGTCTGTGTGCCGTCCATATGGGATTGGTTTCATATGGAAGAGGGAGAGTGGTCTCCCTACTTAAAATCTCTGCTCATCAATTCAGCTCTTCTGTTGCCTGGTAAATGTGATGAGGTAGCTTACAATTGTCAAGGAAACATAAAGTATTTTAGTCTAATTTTCCCTTTCTGTTTGAACTTGTGTTTCCCCTGAACATACCAATGATTTTCTGCAGAAAAGGGGCAGATGAGACTCTAACTGTACTCTGCTCCAAAATACAATTTGAGAAGTAGTAGACTGTTTGTCACATAATAAATAGTTTTTGAAAACTAGGTGAGAGGCCAACCTCAATTAAAAAAAAATACTTAATCAGATGTTACCATTTATATGGGTTTCTGAGTAGCATTTTCAGATAGGTGCCATTGGAGGGTGCCAGCGATTTAAAGTTTGTTTTCTTCAGTGATAAGAGAGGATTAGACAGGGTAACTTTAAGTTTCCTTCTTCCCCTGAAAAATTATGGGTCCATTTAGTTGTCCTGTAAATGCTGCAGTAACTTCTACCCTTCGATTTTTAGCAGCTGTTCGTGATGTCCTCCCTCAGATTCACAGTTTCTCCACGCTTGCCAGTTCTTCTCCCCACTTTGCCTGCTGTTGATCTCAGTGTCCCCCCTTTACCTCATCTGGTTCATCATCTGGATGCTCAGAACCCCAGTTTGTTTTGTGTGTATGTGCACATGTTTGTTTTATTTGCTTTTATACATTTATTTGGGACTTCATTTAATCATTACACTGCTGTTCTGCCTGGGTTTAAATGAGCGAAGAAGCGTTCGTCTGCTTGTTGATAAAGTATATCCTTTGCTATTATAAATATAGGAACTGATGACTCGGTCGTTTCTGAAGATCGACTTAATGAAACTGAACTGACAGATTTAGAAGGTCAACAAGAATCCCCTCCTAAAAATTATCTTTGTGTGGAAGAGGAGAAAATCATGGACCATTCTCACAGTGATGGGTTACATACCATTCACGAGCATGACCTCCATGCTGCTGCACACAACCACCATGACGAGAGTAAGACTGTGCTGAGGAAACATAACCACCAGTGGCACCACAAGCATTCTCACCATTCTCATGGGCCCTGTCATTCTGGGTCCGATCTGAAAGAAACCGGCATAGCTAATATAGCTTGGATGGTAATCATGGGGGATGGCATCCACAACTTCAGTGATGGGCTAGCAATTGGTAAGTGGGCTTGAAACTTGGGTTATCATTTGTTTGATCTTTAAGATCACAGATTCAGTACTAATACTATAAACTGTAATACATAGGATTAAAATTTGAGGTTAACAAATACACTGTTATATATTACTCTGGTCATTTGATTTGTTTCCAGAGGCTATGTTAATGTTTTTGATCAGCTTATTTGGGGCATAAAGGTATATTTTAACTGGGTTTTGCTTTTAATGTGTAAACAAATGTCTGTAGTATACTACTTTTATAACTCGATTTCAAGGCATAATCACATATGAAAGCTACCTTAACATTCTATTTTCAAATACATTTATATATCCCTGAATATATAATTTCAGTCCTGGGTTTAGTACTTTTTTATGTCTTTGAAAAGGTGAAGAAAAATTTTACCTGTTAAGCATCCATTGTACCAGATTCAAATTATTAGAGTCTTGGCTAACGTAAACTGGTATTACTAGTTTAGGAGAATATTAAATGTGATTAATATATGATTTTCTTTTCCAGACTTCACTCAGAAGTAGGCTTTGGTTTCTTTAAGAAAGGAGAGGCCATATTTTTCAATCTTTAGTAGCTGTCAATGTTAAAAAATAAAGAATTTACTAGGGGGAATCAAATGTATTTATATCTCTGATCTCAGTCCTCAAGACTGTCAGATGGATAATACTTTGTAGCATTTTTGCTCTAGACCCAGAAAAGTTCAGACAAGGATGTAGCCATTTAAGGATCTATAAATATTTATATGAGAGAGAGCGAATACAATCGTACGCTTAAAGGACTTGAAATTTAGCATCAGACTTCCACTCAGAAACTGAAATGCTGGAAACCATTACTCCCAAGCTTTCAATGAGCTCTGGAAGGCTAATGTAATGGAAAATTTAATTTCTTAGAGAATATTTCTTTCACTGAGTAGCTCTTTCTCTGGTTATTATATACGTATTATACCTCACTATATGTTCAAAAAGTATAATGTAAAATAAGTGAGTCATATATTATGAAAATAATTTAGATAGGCAAAAGAGGTTGTACCTATCCTTATTAATGAAAATGGAAAAAGCAGAAGTAAACATCACTTGATTTTCTTTTTACCCCCCCACCTCAGGAGCAGCTTTCAGTGCTGGACTGACGGGAGGAATCAGTACCTCTATAGCTGTGTTCTGTCATGAGCTGCCACATGAGTTAGGTAATATACCAGATTTTGTCAAATCTTAAGACTTCTTCTGTTATAAATGCATATAAATTTTGGAGAGGTTAAAACATAAAAATGGCTGATGACAAGTAGAAATGTCATCATTCTTTTATATAACATGTATTATATGCACCTAAAAATGTATTGTTTTATATGTATGTATTTTTAATTTATGTAAACAGTATTATGTCCTTTCCCATTCTGTTCCTTATATTACTAATCATTATGCTTTTATTTAGTTTATTTTGAGAGAGAGAGAAAGAAAGCATGAGCACATGAGCAGGGGAGGAGCAGGGAGAGAAGGAGAGAAAGAATCCCAAGCAGGCTTCATACTGTCAGCACAGAACCTGATGTGGGGCTTGATCTCACAAACCATGAGAACATGACCTGAGCCGAGGTCAAGAGTCAGATGCTTAACCAACCGACCCACCCAGGCGCCCCGCATTATGCTTTTAAACTCCACCCAGGTTATCATTAATTCATTTAATATGTTGCTTTTAGTCAGTACTTAAGAGTTGTGCATTTACCGCATTTTACATATGTGTCACCTAGTATTAGATACACTACACCTTTAATTTCCTGCCACCACAGATAATGAGGCATGGAACATCTGTAGACTTAGCACTTATAGACTCTTACAAGAACATCTTTTGGGATTATACCCAGGAACAGAATTGATGGGTCGTAGGATGTACCTGCCAGAGAAGTGCTGTATTACTAGCCACCATGGCCATCTCTAACCACCAATACCAGAGAGTTCCTGTGTTTCCACATCCCTGCCAAGACTTCACATTAACTAATTTTTGTCAATTTGGTAGATATAAAATGATATTTCTTTGTTGTTTTAGTTGGCACTTACTGATCTACCAATGATTTTTTTTTAAATTTCTCTTCATGTGTTTTGATTTTTGTTTTATTTTTATTTTTATTATTTTTGAGCAACAGAGAGTGTGAGTAGGGGAGGGGCAGAGAAAGAGGGAGACACAGAATTCGAAGCAGGCTCCAGGCTCCCAGCTGTGTCAGTACAGAGCCAGATGCGGGGCTCAAACTCACAGACCACAAGATCATGACCTGAGCTCATGTCAGATGCCTAACCAACTGAGCCACCCAGGTGCTCCTGATTTTTTCCTTTAAGTTGAAAAACATTAGATGTGCACATGCATTCATTCACAGAAAATATCCAAGGGATGTAGAGATGACATAAATTTGAAAGAAAAAAGTAACTCCCTATTCTGAGTTTCCAAGGAATTTCTTCATATGCTCTTGCTAGTTTAATATTTTTCTTAAATTTATCTGGCTGTGAAACATCTATCACTTGACTGTGCTTAATTTTTTTTATTGGTAGTAACCTTATTTGCTTACTTTCAGTAGAGTTCATATGTATAATTTGCTTAGAAAATTATTAACTGCTCAAAGCAGGACAGTCTATTAATGCTTACTTGGTAATGATTCTCTAAGCCTTGATTCCGTACTTAACAGTTTTGTTCCTTTGCCAGCCTTGAGCCTGTGTTCTTTTTTTTTTTTTCCCCAACGTTTATTTATTTTTGGGACAGAGAGAGACAGAGCATGAACGGGAGAGGGGCAGAGAGAGAGGGAGACACAGAATCGGAAACAGGCTCCAGGCTCTGAGCCATCAGCCCAGAGCCCGACGCGGGGCTCGAACTCACGGACCGCGAGATCGTGACCTGGCTGAAGTCGGACGCTTAACCGACTGCGCCACCCAGGCGCCCCGAGCCTGTGTTCTTATATCCTGTTCATGCCCCATTTCCTTTATCCTGACTAAACCATTATTGCCTTCGTTGTCTTTTGCTTGGACAGTTTCCATAGTATTTACACCTAGTTTTGCTCTGTTCTAGTCCATCTTGTATACTTTATCCCAAAGTGACTTGCTCATGCAATCAGTCTTTCAGTAGTCTCCCTTACGTATAAAGTTAAAAGCTGAGATACATTAGTCCCGCTTCCATTGGCCTTCATTTCTGCCTTTTCAGCCTTACTCACTGTGCTTGCTGTTGCATGTTTTCCACTTCACCCAAACATAATTCACCAAACATATGCTGTGGGTGCCTGAGCCTGCTTCTTTCCTTGTACCATCTTCCTACTTGGCTTGTCCTGTCCTACTGATTGTCTCTCTAGTTAATTATGTTATGAGGCTTTTTTTCTCCAACTTGAGGACTGCCCTCCCGCTGGAGGATTACTGCCCTGTATGTGTTGGATTACTTTTTCGTGTAAACTTTATCACTTAGCTTCACCAGGTCTTTCTTTGGGTGCTTAGTATATATATCCATTGTAGATGTCCTATCTCTTAAAATGTAGGTTCTTTGTATGCAGATACTGTATCTTATGCACTTTTCTTAACTACTTTCCTGTGTTAGGAAGAGAATAATCTGCCAAATACTTCTTTGCAATTCCATAGCAATACACATCAGGGCTTTCTGTCAGGTTTTTTTTGTTTTTTTTTTTTTAACATTTATTTATTTTTGAGACAGAGAGAGACAGAGCGTGAACGGGGGAGGGGCAGAGAGAGAGGGAGACACAGAATCTGAAACAGGCTCCGGGCTCTGAGCTGTCAGCACAGAGCCTGACGCGGGGCTCGAACCCATGGACCGCGAGATCATGACCCGAGCCGAAGTCGGCCGCTTAACCCGACTGAGCCACCCAGGTGCCCCTGTCAGTGTTTATATGTAGGTAACATATAGCCTAATAATTTTAACTTTGCACTCTTCATTTTGAACTTGCTTAGTAGATTTGGATAGTCTGAACACACATCCACAATATACTGGGAAGACCTTCAACTTCCCTTCCTACCCTCTTCCTGCTCCCTAAATGGAGTATATCATGCCACTTCATGGTTATTGACAGCAGGGAGTTTGGAGATTAGGGATGATTGCCTTCCTGCCACTTACTCCTTTTTCTCTCTATAGTTTCTCCTTGAAACAATGAAATACAAGGAATGATAGCCACATAAACAAATGCAGGACATACCTTAATAGCTAGGTAAGGCCTTGGACCTATGCAGAGCTCTTGTGAAAGCTGGATTATAGAACTCTACCTGGGCCAGGACTCCCCATGAGACAATCGACCCCAAATCTCTACCTGTTTGACCCCCACAAACCAGAAGTTGGGATGTTACTGTTGCTGTGATGGGAAAACATGAGTTTAAAGTACGTTGAACTTTAAAGGAGTGAGACCTTAAGAAAATGTGCATTTTCCCCCAATGCTCAGTGCTAAATTGACCTAAACTCTATTTTCTAGCTGTCTAGGCTCTAGGGTAAAAAGAGCATAACTCTGGAAGTGATAGAAAATGCTTTGGCCTTTGTATTCATCAAGGCAGGAAGTGGTCTAATGACCATAAACAAAGAAAGTATTTTAAAAAATGATTTTAGAGCCTATTTTTTGCCTTAAGGTACAATAATGGACACTTTGGTAAAATAGGCCCAGATGAATGTCTTTACTCTGATTTATCACTCTTATTCATTTGGAGAGGAGGGAATCTGGAGAGAGGCTAGAAACCTCTTCCTCAGAACTCCCAAGCAAGGGAAAGATCACTCCCCTAGAAGATATGATAGAAGCATGGCAGGGAGATAGGAGAAACTTCTCCCTGGTTAATAGGTCAGGATATTGGCAAAGCAGCATAATACGTTGCATTCCAGGATAATTTATTTGATCTAAAACCTCTTAGGCCCTAGTTAAGTTTTTGATTATGAATTCTTAAAACTGTTCTGAGATTTTTATACTGAAGTCATACCCTAAATGGGAAAACAATTGTTTAAATTACATTTTAGTGCATTAAAAAGCGACCCTTAGTAATTCCAAGTTTTATTGTTCCTCTTCTGAACGCATTGCAGTTCTCGCATGGTGTACCAGATGATGGTTTTGTTTGTGCTTAGGAATGCAAAGGAAAAATCAAACTTTTAAACCTTAGAACAATATACAGCTCAGGGAGGTTCATTCTAAGAGGTATGCAGAAATTGAAACCATCTGAGAAAATAGAAAACGCTTGTCTCTCATAGCATGTTTGCTGTGGGGTGGGTTAACGGATGAAGTCACCTGAATTATTCCTACTCTTTCTTTCGTTTTTTGCCAAACTTGTTTTAGCTATATTTAAGTAAGTAGAAATATTACTTTGTTGTATTCTCTCTACTTTTTCCTACTAGTTCAAAATAACTGTATAAGCATTTAAAAAATAATTTGTATGAAAACTTGTATAAGAACATATAAAGAGGAAATGAGATTGGGATAATCTAGAAGAGCAGATAATCCAAACTCTCTTCTTGATATTAAGTAGTGTGTTCTAACTCCAAAAAAAAGTGACATTTTGATAAATAAATGTAGCCTTATTATTAAGACTCAGCTCAGAGAGGCTATGGGTGCCATCCCGTTTTTCCCTTTACTCTCATGCGTATTTAAGGGGTAAGTAGAATTTCAAAATAAATTTTCATAATGTGCTAGATTGTTCAGGGAAAACTGAACATTTACTATATAAATGTATACATGTGTATACATGCATTATTTAAGGCAAAAATAAAGAACTTTGAAATATGTATTTGTTTAAAAAAATCTCAGTGGTTGATATTAACATAATTACAGCATTGGATCACATTAACAGCTTTGGCAGGCACACCTCATTCGTTGTGTTAATGACACCCTTTGTCAGCAGAAAGGAAGGGATATTGATTTATCAAAAGATGAGTAGATCTGCTTGTTTGGTGTAAATCCCAACTGTATTCTTTTGATCTATTTTTCAAATATTTATCAAGGTTCTTACTGAGAAGGGAGGTGGGTGGAGAAAAAGGGAGAAAAATATGCAGATACCTCTGAAATTTGTAACTAAGATAAGTCTAGGACAGAGGTAGATTTTATTTTATTTTATTCATTTTTTTTTTTAATTTTTAATGTTTATTTCTGAGACAGAGAGAGACAGAGCATAAGTGGGGGAGGGGCAGAAAGAGAGAGGGGGACAAAGAATCCGAAGCAGGCTCCAGGCTCTGAGCTGTCAGCACAGAGCCCGACGCGGGGCTCGAACTCACAGATTGTGAGATCATGACCTGAGCCAAAGCCGGCCGCTCAACCGACTGAGCCACCCAGGCGCCCCTAGATTTTAAATGAAATAATTCGTCTTGGTACAAGGTCATTATACAAAGATAATTTATACTGCTGTATACTAGCAATGAACAATTAGAAATTGAAATTTTTTTAAAGTGCTATTTATAACACCAAAAACATGAAACTCTTTGGTTAAATCTAACAAAATATACACAGAATCTGTATGCTGAAAACTACAAATCACCACAAAAGAGATCAAAGGAGACTTGAGTGTGAAGAATGTATACCAGGTTTATGGACCAGAAGACTCAGTATCTTTAAGATGCTAATTTTCCCTATAGTTTAAGTGCATTCCCAGTCAGAATACCAGCAGGCTTTTTCAAATGAGCTTTTTCAAAATTTAATATGGAAACCGAAAGGAACTTGGATAACCAGAAGAATTTTGAAAAAGGACAACAAAATTGACTTTAAGACTTGCTATAAAGCCACAGTAATTGCAACAATTTATATTGGTGAGGAAACAGACACATAAATCAGTGGAACAAAGTAGAGTTCTCTGATATATGGCAACATTTTCAACAAAGTGCAAAGGAAATTCCATGTAGAAAGGAAGTTTTTTCAACAAATGTTGCTGTAGTAATTGAATATATAGTTTCAAAAACCCAAAGAAAAAAGTTCACACTGTAGACACAAATTAACTGAAAAAAGATCATTGATTTAAATAAAAATTTTAAAATACAGGTTTCCCCTGCTATCCAAAAGTAGTGTTCCAGTGAAACTTTTTGTAAGCTGTAAGGGCTTAAAGCTAAGAAACAGTTACTATTTATATGGAGACGTTTTTGACTTTCCCAATATCTTAGGATACATCTTGCCGATGGAAGCACAAAATAGAGACAAAGCACAGGTACTCACACACTTCAGAGCTATGGTGGCCTGACACTGAGCATGGTTCCTGGGGAAGGAGCTTGGTGGGGCTACTCTGGCTGCTCGGGGTGCAGGCTGCCTCTACAGCAGCTCATGCAAAACAGAGGCTGTTTTTGGTTTTTGCCTTTTTTCATAAAAGGGAAAAATCCTTTTCAGATTTTTTTTGGTTAGGGAAAACCGGTACTAACGTAGGTCTTTAATAAAAGTGAAGTGGCTGTAATACGAACTTTTGAAAAGTGGGGGTTACCTGTATAAGGCTTTCAGAAGAAAACCTAGGAGAAAATCTTTGTGTTCTTGGATTAGGCAAACTATTTTTAGATAAAACATCAAAAGCATGATCTGTTAAGGAAAAAGTAATAAAATGGACTTCATAAAAATTAAAAACTCTACACAAATAGCCTTTATTAAAAAAGAATGAAAAGGACTATGAATAAATATTTGGAAAATACATCCCTGACAAGAGACTTTTAGGATATTTAAAGACCTCTCAACTCAATAATAGGAAAAACAACAGAGTGGGCAAAAGATTTGAACAGGCATTTCACTAAAGCAATTCTGCAGATGAAAACACATGGGATTATAGGTGCTGGATTTGTCATTATAAAGGGCTATAAAGGATGTGGAACAACTCTCAGAAATTGCTGGTAGGAATGCAGCTTTTTAGAAGGTTAGAAAAAAGACACTCGTTAAATGGCCCAGAAATCCCACTCATAGGTATCTACTCGAGAAATGAAAACTTATGTTGACAGAAAAACCTGTTTATGTGTACAGTGGCTTTATTCATAGTTGCCCAAAACTGGAAACAACCCATAGGTCCTTCAGCTGTTAACTTGGTTTATCTATGGAGTATTTAGTGTAGTAAAAACCATGACTTCCTGGGGCGCTTGGATGGCTCAGTCATTTGAGTGTCCGACTTCGGCTCAGGTCATGATCTCACAGTTTGTGAGTTCTAGCCCCACGTCAGGCTCTGTGCTGACAGCTCAGAGCCTGGATGGAGCCTGCTTCGGATTCTGTGTCTCCCTGTCTCTCTGCCCCTCCCCAGCTCACTCACACACACACACACACACACACACACACACACACACACACTCACTCTCACTCTTTCTCTCTCTCTCAAAAATAAATAAACATTAAAAAAATGACTTTCTGATATAAACTGTAACGTGAATGAATCTTATACATATTATGCTAAGAGGAAAAAAATACCTAGATTCAAAAGACTACATACTTTATGGTTTCAATTTATATGATATCCTGGACAAGGAAAAACTATAGGCGTTGGTTGCTGAGGAATGAGGGAACTGAGGAAGTTTGCAGGGAAGGGCGGAGGGTGGATAATGAAGTAGTTCCAGAGTTTGATGGTGGTTATGGTTCCATGGTATGTACTTTTGTCAAAACTCCTAGAACTCTACATCCAAAAGAGAATGCTGTAAAAAAAGAATTCTACCTTAAAATTTTAATTTAAAAAAGTTTTAACTAAAAATTCATCTTGAGTCTTCATTAGCTAATTCACGCTGTTTGGTTGCTATTCAAGGATGAAATAAATCCTTTTGCCATCCAGTAATATCTGGGGAGGCATCAAGGTCGACATAGTTTGTACCTATGACACAATGTTCTTTGAGTATTAAATAGTGTTTCTTTTAAAACCCTTTTTAATTATTTTTTTAAGTTTACTTATTTTGAGAAAGAGCACAAGTGGGATAGGGGCAGAGGGAGAGGGAGAGAGAGAATCCCAAGCAGGCTCCGTGCTGTCAGCACAGAGCCTGATGTGGGTTTCAAACCCATGAACTGTGAGATCATGACCTGAGCTGAAACCAAGAGTCAGACACACCACTGACTGAGCCAGTCATGTGCCCGTGCCCTTTTTTGGAATTATAAAAGGAAACACTTTATTTTATAACCTAAAGACACTTCTCATTTTGTATTACCTAACCCCCTGCTAAATTAAATTGCCCTCTGAGCATGGTTAGTGAGTGAATTAGTGAAAATCTGGTGGGGAAACTTATAGAGGAAGAAGTTAGGAAGCTCTTTGCTTAAGGAAGCTGAGAAAAATTAAAAGTCTAGGGTAGAGAAGAGATAAAGCTGCTTTTGAATCCAGGACTTACCAGGAAAATTAAGGATTTAGGATCAGAGGGGAGAAAAAATGCAAGGAGAGTAGTAGTAGATGGAAACTAGAGAATGGCAGTTTAGAAGCTATTGGTAGATAATCTTGCACTAATTTGTTAACTTCTTCCTATCTGTTATAAATTAGAACCTTATAACCATAAGAGTTAAAAAAGAGAACAGATCATGTATTTTTAGTCATGTAAGGTTAAGACCCACCCCCCCCCTTTTTAAGTTTGTTTCTCTACATATGAATGTAATTTCTACGCCAAACATGAGGCTCAAACCCATGACCAAAAGTCTCATGCTCTTCTGACTGAGCCAGTGGGTAACCCTAAAATTGCCTCTTAAGGGAAGGAAATGCCCCAGTGTCTGTATAATATCTTGCATTGCTAAGTGTTCAGTGATAAATTAGATGTTTGTATATTTAGTAAAACAAAGAAGCTTGTTATAGTTTGTCAGAAATTACTGACTTTTACCCTTTAGCTTTAAGGCTATCATATCTAGCAGTATTTATTCTTCTAGTAATATCTCTGAGCAATATTTGTTTTTTTCTAGCAGTCCAACTCTAGACATACAAGTGTGAGTCTCTTTATTCATTTTACATTTTTATGATTTTTAGAATTAAGATTTAATTTTTTTCCTGGAAAAAATAAAACAAATCTAAACAGCATACAATATACTTACAGTCTGTTACCTCTGTTTGTTCTTAGGCCATTTTTCTTTCGAAAAGGGGCAGAGATAAGAGCAGAAAGCTTTAATTGTTGCTCACGGAAAGAGTAGTGACCAGGTTCTTTTTTTCTACATTTTTGATTTTTTTTTTAATGTTTATTTATTTTTGAGAGGGGCGTGGCACAGAGGATCCCAAACAGGCTCTCTGTTGACAGCAGAGAGCCCAGCGTGGGGCTCGAACTCATGAACTGTGAGATCCTGAGCTGAAGTCAGATGCTTAACTGACTGAGCCCACCCAGATGCCATTCTAGGTTTTTGATTTTTTTAAAAAAACTTTTAAGTGTTTTTAGATTTCGTTTTGAAAGAGAGGAAAAGAGTAGTGGGTGAGCAGGGAGAGGCAGAAGGAGAGGGAGAGAGAGAATCCTAAGAAGGCTTCACATCTAGCATGGAGCCCTATTTGGGACTCGGTCCCATGACTGTGAGATCATGACCTAAGCCAAAATCAAGAGTGGGATGCTTACCCAATTGAGCCACCCAAAATTTAACATTTCACATTCTACAAAAAATTGACCTTTGCTTTTTGATAAGCAGTTCTTTGAGTTTTCACATGTCTGTAGACTTCTAACAATTCCATCATCCCAATAGTTCCCTTCTTGCAGTCCCATTGTAGTCCCACCCCTGTTTCTGGCGACCTTGGAATGTTCTTCACTGTAGTTTTATCTTTTTGAGATATCATATAAATAGAATCGTATATAACCATTCAGACTGGCTCTGAGCATCGTGCCTGTGAGATTCACCCAAGTTTTGCCTGTATTAGGTTCAATTAAGTAAAAAATAAATATTTATAATAAAATCTCAGTTATTAAAGGTGTATTTTTATATCAATTTTTTATTTTGTTTCCTGCTTTTTCCCCTTAAATGTGTGTGTAAAATCCTGTGATTGTAAAACTCTCACATTGTGTCTTTACTGCAGGTGATTTTGCAGTTCTTCTTAAAGCTGGCATGACTGTAAGGCAAGCAATTGTATACAACCTCCTCTCTGCCATGATGGCTTACATAGGCATGCTTATAGGCACAGCTGTGGGTCAGTATGCCAATAACATCACACTTTGGATCTTTGCAATCACTGCAGGCATGTTCCTTTATGTCGCCTTGGTGGATATGGTAAGATACTTTATAGTTTTGTGATTATTACCAAATCTGTAAATAGAATGCACCTTCCAGAAATGGAAGAAACCTTTGGATGTAGTTTAAAAGAATATTTTTAAAAATGGAACCCATTTTAAAACATGTGAAATCCTAAATAGTCTATTAGGGAAAGACAAATAGAAGGGTTTCCTCTTTGAAAATCAATTGAGATGCTGAAAAATTTTGACCAAATGATATTACTATTCAAAGTAATCATCAGTAATATTTAGAGATAATTGTTATACTATTAAAATTTGTAATACTGTGGTGTGGTTTGTTAATAAAATAATTCTTTGAGCTTGTTTTATGGCAAACAAGAAATACTTCTTAGGGAAGCCAATCTTCTGCAGAAAATGGTATATTTTCCTAGGGATTTGTGTAATTTTCATTTTTTCTAGCTTTAAAGTTAATAAATCTAAACACTAGCAAATAGTTTTAATTTTACCTTTATATCTTAAATATGTTAGGTAGTGTATTTGCAGAACCTGCAGTTTAATTACTTTTTTTTTTAAGTTTATTTATTTATTTTGAGAGGGAGAGAGAATCCCATTCAGGGTCTGCACTGTCAGCACATAGCCCAAAGTGGGGCTCGATCTCACGAACCATTAGATCATGGCCTGAGCCAAGATCAAGAGTAGAACGCTTAACAAACTGAACCACCCAGGTGCCCCTACTTTTTGTTTTCAAACATTATGTTCACTTTTCTTCCTGGTAGGATCTAGTAGATGGTCTCATTTCAAAATCATATAACCTGAATTTTTAATGATAGAATTAATGCCTATTTATAATAGAAAATTTAGAAAGTATCAACAAAAGAAAAGAAAAACTGTTTACAGGGTGCCTGGGTGGCTCAGTCGGTTAAGCATCCACCTTCAGCTCAGGTTATGATCTTATGGTTCACAAGTTTGAGCCCCGTGTTGGGCTCTGTGCTGACAGCTCAGAGCCTGGAGCCTGCTTCGGATTCTGTGTCTCCCTCTCTCTCTGCCCCTCCCCCGCTTGTGCATGCACACGCATGCTCTCTCTCTCTCTCTCAAAAATAAAAACGTTAAAAAAATGTTGACGCTCTGTACCTACAGTTCACCACTTCCCTATCTTTTCATAGACTCTAACACCTCATTTCTTGTCCCCATGCTCAGCTGATTACCTTACTTCCTGTTTTATGGAGAACCCTGAAGCCATTGAGACAACTTGCCACAGGTTCCCATCACCATTTTTACTCATCTGCCTGTATCTGTTCGTTTACTCCCTTTCCTATTACACTGGAGGAATCTCTGTGTTCCTCAAAGAGGTCAGCTTCTTAAAACCGCTCCCTAGAACTTGTCCTCTTTTCACTAACTTCCTGAAATTCTCCCAAATTCTCTCTCGTGTTGGTCATTTTCCCCTCTCTGCTGGATCATTCCTACAAGCACGTAAACCTCGTGTACTCCTCACTTCAAAAGGTAGGAGAGAGGACTTTCTTAACTCTAGTTTCTATTTTAGTCCTCAACCACCATTTTCTTCCCTTACAGAGCAAATTACGCTTTCTTAATTTTTGATTCTCATCTCTCTTGAGTTTGGCCATATCAGGTATTCTCCCTGACTGCTGTGCCAGATTGTTATCTGGCAGTCGACCACGATGTTGCTGAGTCCAGTGGTCATTCACCCCATCCCATCTCTGTTCAGCAGTATTTCGCAGTTGCTCATTCTCTTCTCTTTGAAATGCTTTCCTGCCATCACCATCTCCTGGCTTACCACCTTCCCGGCCTTTCTTTCTCAATTTGTTTTCTGATTCTCTTCTCCCTTACCTGTAACTGTGGGTGAAAGCCCTCTAGGTAATTCACGGCTTTAAATTTTTATTGACTGGTAATTCCTATGTTTACATCTTTAGCAGACTTTTTCCTTAACTCAGTTAATCTATCTACCTGCTTCCCTGACTCTCTGAACAGAAGTACAAGCTGATTATGTTCAGATCGCAGCTCTTGAGATCTGCCAGCCTTAACTTCTTGAACCAGCAACTCCTGTAGGGATTCTCTGTCATACATGATGATTCCATTCTTCTGGTTGCTCAGATCAAAGCCCTGACTATCATTCTTTGACTCAAGTCTCTCTGTCCACCCTACCTCTGGCTCGTCTTGGGAGGGCTCTGCCCCCTAACCACCTCTGTGGCCACCATGCTCCTTCAAGCCACCACCATCTTCTTCTCTTTAACTTTCTCCCTGCTTTTGCCCTGCTGTTGCCCTGTCCACGACATTCTGGGTCAACAGTCATGTCACTTGTGTGCTTCAAACTCTTCGGTGGCTCCTGTGCATTTCCTCTCCCTCTCCCTCTCTAATTTCTTGAACTATACCTCATCTTCTCCTTTTCCCCAGGAGGCACACTCTGCCGTAGGGGCCTGGCTCTTGCTGATCGCTCTATGTGGAATATTTTGCCTGTGGACATTCTTCGGGCTAGCTTTCTCCCTTCTGTGAGGCATCCCATCTAAAATTTCAACCGCTACCCCAACATTTTACACATTCTGTCCCTACTTTTTTTCTCCTTTGGACTTAGATCTTGATCTATAAATAATACACTAAACATTTTACTTATTTATTGAGTTCCTTATGGGCCCCACATGGATACCCATTCTGAGACGGCAAGCATTTTTGGTAGTATTTCATTTACTGCTAGAAAAGTAGTTCACAATTAGTTGAATGAAAAATGAGCTAATTCTTATACTAGGAACCTAAAGATATATATATATAAAAAAAAAAATGAGAATCTTTCCAGGAAGGATTTAGAGTCTAATGAAGGAGAAAACTAGCCATTAATTAGAATTCTTTTAATAATGGATTACAATAGAGTAGTGTACCATCTTTGTAAAACTATGTTGGCTAAAAAATTGGGAAATAAAATTAGGGAAGTTTCTCTGGAATGGGAGATCTGAGCTGAGTCTTAAAAACTGTTGAATAGTTTATTAGAAGCAAGAGAAAGGGTCATATGAGAAAGCAGAATAATGAATAGCATCGTTCCTTTGACTGGTGAGTCTCCTCCTGGGACTGTATTTTAGAGAAAATAACCCATCATGACTATTGCTATTACAACAAGCAAGCAAACAAAAAACTGTATTAAAGTGTTTTTTGCAGTAGCATTTACAATGTTACAGTTATATTGGAAATACAGTTATATTGGAAATAAGTGTCCAAGAGGGAAAACTATCCACATATATTTTAGGACTTTAATAATACTGAAATTATTTTTTTCCTATTACATCGTCATCAGATGTTGGCCAGATCATGACAGTCCTACAACACACAGTGCTATAAAAGAGAATTTAGTGTAAATTTTATAAATTTTTAATTATAAATTTTGAGGAGCCATTACAGAGTTAAGCAACAATGACATCACATTTTTGTTTTAGAAAGACCACTTTGACTATAGGGAGGAAGTTTGTATTCATTTACAATAATTCAGTATGATAGCAACAGTACCAGAAATTTTGGTTTGAGGTACCTTTAGGGTATCCAGGTATTATAAGCGCCCATCTGGTTTTAAAAAAAATTTTTTTTTTCAACATTTATTTATTTTTTTTTGGGACAGAGAGAGACAGAGCATGAACAGGGGAGGGGCAGAGAGAGAGGGAGACACAGAATCGGAAACAGGCTCCAGGCTCTGAGCCATCAGCCCAGAGCCCGACGCGGGCTCGAACTCACGGACCGCGAGATCGTGACCTGGCTGAAGTCGGACGCTTAACCGACTGCGCCACCCAGGCGCCCCATCGCCCATCTGGTTTTAAGGGCCTTTGGATAGCAGCTGTTTATCAGCCAGTTTGGAAGCGCTATTGTAGGGCCATACCAGTAGATACTGGCTGGCTTTTGCTGTGCTTATGATCAGCAGACATGGGTGTGGGTATTCAGGACTGAAGTGAATGTGGGGAAGGCATAGTGCCTCTTCTGGCTGGTATGTGTACCTATCTGGAGGGGGTGTTTCTGAGAAAAGTCCTGTATATTACATATGCTTAAATGTTAAGCCAGAATTAAAAGTTTTTGTCTTAATAAAAACTTGAGGAAAGGAGAAAAGATATAATAAAAAATAGTCTTTTTACTAGAACCATGAGTTTGGAAATTGCCTGGTTTAGTCTGAATCTAGAATTTGGCAAATATTCTGTAAAGGGACAGATAGTAAATATTTAGGCTTTGTAGACCATACAGTCTCTGTCACAGTTCATCAGCTATTCTGTTTGTAGTAGTTTCTGTCACAATTACTCTACTCTGCTGGAAAAGAACAGTAGCCTCCACACTGCTGCCATAGACTTGGGAACAAAATAGATGATCAGCATGAAGTCATTCTTAAATAGGATCCTCAGGAGACTGTTAAATATACTGTAGCAGTGTCGGATACGGTAGTTGGATTAATTGTACTCATTATTTAATAATGAATAATGGTGTTTCTTCCTAGACAGGCATTATGTTCTTAATACTACATTTCTCCTTGGGGCGCCTGGGCGGCTCAGTCGGTTGGGCGTCCGACTTCGGCTCAGGTCATGATCTCATTGTTGGTGAGTTCAGGCCGCATATCGGGCTCTATGCTGACAGCTCGAAGCCTGGAGCTTGCTTCAGATTCTGTGTCTCTGTCTCTCTCTGGTCCTTCCCTACTCACACGCATATTCTCTCTCTCTCTCTCTCTCTCTCTCTCTCTCTCTCTCTCTCTCAAAAATAAATAAACATTAAACAGAAAAAATACTACATTTCTCCTCCCTAAACCCAAAGCACCAAGGTATTGTTTGGAGTAAAGCTTAGTGTCTAAGAGAGTAGCATCTCATTATCATCTGACGATACTCATTGCAAACTTGAAAAACAATACACAGAAAGAGTGGAAGTAAAAAGTAGAAGTAGTTATTCTCGCACAATTTTGACTAGGTGTGGGAGGAAAGACTATGCTTATAATAATGTACATCTCTTTAAACGTACTGGAAACTTCCAGGTTTTTGAAATTTTGTCCTAGAGTATACTGTGAAAGCAGCATGTATAACTTGGGGAGCGGTTCTGCTGGGTAGGTTTGATAGACTATTTTCTCTATTAGGGGAAGGAAAATAGTGGCCAAAGGGCATAGAGATGCCAGTTAGGTATCATCTGTAAATGTCTGTCCTTGCTGTCAGCAGTTGAATATGAGAATTTTAAAGGAAAGGGTGAAGAAATGAAACACTTTTGAATTAGATATCCCCCCAAAGAATATTACGTTCTCAGTGAGTTTAAGATCAGCAAATGTGGGAAATGTGGTGTTCTTTTGGAGAGTTTTATTGGCAATAATAAGTTGTCTTATACTTTAGCATAAAGGAAATGCCGGAAGTGACAAGGTCGATGGATGGTGACTTTAAAAAATGACCAATGCGCATATTATGTGCATTCGTTTGGGATTTAGGAGGGAACAGATTTTGTATTTACTTACTACACAGCTAAAGCATGAACTTTGTCAGTGCTTGAGTGAAATCTGTGTTACGGATAGCATTATGTTGAATAGAATAATTTATTTGTAGTTGTGCTTTATCCGTTAGTTTAAACTAGAAGAATGTTTTAAAAAGTTGAGAATATTATTACAAAATTGCTTGTAAGTATCTGTTTTGTTTTGTTTTCGTTTTTTCCAGCTTCCAGAAATGTTGCATGGTGATGGTGACAATGAAGAACATGGCTTTTGTCCAGTGGGGCAGTTCATTCTTCAGAATTTAGGATTGCTGTTTGGATTTGCCATCATGCTGGTGATTGCCCTCTATGAAGACAAAATTGTGTTTGACCTCCAGTTTTAACCATTCCCAGTCACCATTGTGGATTACGAGAATGTTCCCATGCAGCTGTGCAGCTGTTCCTAGTGCTGTGCGCACATTTTGCTCAAAGAAAAGTCAGTGGCTTGCACTACTTACAAGTTCCATAGATCTGAGCCTAACCACAAAAGACTGGTTGGTGCTCAGTACTGCTTTTCCCTGTGTGAAGGGGTCTTTTAAAAATACAAAGCTTGTGATAAAGAAAGGAGAAAATGGGACTCCATGAACCAATGTTGATATAGGTTTAAGACTTTTAAAAGAATAATCATATAAAACACTAAAGTAGTCTCTGGTAGTAGAAACTTCTGTGGCTATGCAGAAATAGAAATTGAACCAAAAAAATCATTTAAACTTTAAAAATATTTTAAATGGACTTCGGGCAGACTTTTCTTTGTGCTAAAAATGAATTGTAGCATCCTTTAATTCAGTTACATATATACATAAGGTAATGGGGATCAACTTGGTACAGTTTTGAAACTGCATTAGGTAGGCTATAGGAACTAGAGGAAGGCTCAGGCTGCATTAGAGTATGAATTTAGCATTGGGAAAAGCCCTTATTCTTGAATCTAGAGTTACTATTTTTGTATATATTGGCATAGTGTTTAAACTTGCAGCCTAAACTACTGAAATCTGTGATTGTATGTTTGTGTGAGCTTCAGTTTAACGAAAGATTCATAATGGTTCTTCGTATTAATATTATACTTGGTGTTTGGGTGTTTTTTCTTTCAAACTTTAATTTTGTTTTTGTTTTGGGATTTTTGGTGGGGGTAGGGAGTTGGAGCATGTGGTAAAATGTTTTTTTCATTCAGAGTGTAACCCTCTAGGAAACATCAGAACAAAGAAGAACCCAAACATGATCTAAATATTCAGTTCTGCTACTTTAACAGTACTAACTAGTTATTTGGGAAATTTAAGTTCTAAATGTATGCATTGCTTTACCAGCTTGGCTTTGGAACCTAGAGCACATGCTGTGACTGGCAGTGAGGTAAGGCAGAAAATCCACGTTTACCATATCCTAATCTGTATGTCCATTAAAATGGTTATGAGGAAAATCTCCATTGATACCATAGCTAGCATGGTACCAAGTGACTTGGGAGATACGCTTAAATAACTCCGCTAAAATCACTTAATCATTTTGTGCCAAGATATGCGGTTGGTGCCTGATAGGGGTTGGTCTCTTTTATAGATGCCCTGTTCTACCATAATTGAGTGATTTGTGAGAAGTGCGAGCCGTGTTTATCCTGAATTTTGACCCAGTAATTTGTAGTACTAGTCACATTGCATGTAGCTTTCTGTTGACGTCTTGTGCCACACGGCCTTCATTCATGCCAGGTAAACTGTATTTGAACTATGTGCAGGCAGCTTGGTTTTAATCTGCTTGGCTACCAGTGCGGCTGCTTTAAAAATCTTACTGTTCAAATATTTAAGAGCCAAACTCTTTCCATTCCATTTACCATGTTTTCATTTCCTCCTCCTTTTCCTCAGCCCCTTTCCTCTTACTTCATGAACTTTAAACAAAAAAATAAAACTTCGAGAGCAGCACATGTTTCCAGGTATTAAGAGTATTGCCAGTGTTTCTTCTTTATGCTGTGAGCGAGGAAGCTTAGGTGTTATTTCCTTAATTTGTGCCTGAATTTGAAAAATTATTTCTGGCTTTTCTCACGGCCTCCTGTAATAAGTAGGTTTTGGTTTTCTGTTTTTTTTGTTTTTTTGTTTTTTTTTTTTTTTTAAACATAGAACATCTTCAGCATTGGGCACTGAATTAGGACAGCCTTCATCTCATTGCTTGGCCCTTCAAGCAACCTAGTAAAAGGTGCTGTTATTTTATTTAGTACTGCCAACTTCGAGTGATTAAAATATCTTGCTTTCTGAACCAAGATATATAATTCATTTTTGCATTTTTATACCCAAGGAAGATTCTGCATTCTGGCATTAAATCTGCTTAATTATAAAACTTTTATGAAAAGCAACAGTTGGAATAGACTCCCCGTCGTAAAGGTCTGGTTGAAAACAAACAGGTTCTGCTGAAGTGTATAAAGTTTTATATTCTCTGAAAAATGGTATTACATTATCTTCATTTGCTAGATTTTTTAAAACCTGTTAAGAGGGCTGTAACAGTTGCTGCTAGTATTTTGTTAGGGTTCCACCAGTATTTAGTTTTCATGTCATTCTGATGTATTGTTTCAAGTCTGACCAGACAATCTGAATTCCACTACATTTCTGTTCGGCTCCAACATTCCATTGAGCTTGACCAGTCTAATTTAACATGTGTTTGTTGGAGGTTGTTAATGTTACTTGTACAATGCTGTCACTGTGTGACATCCATATGAGTTTTGGTGTATATCACATTGCATTCAATCAGCTGTGATTATGCGTAGAAATACAATAGTAACTAGATGCAGTGTGAATTTTTTCCATTAACAGTAAGTCAGTGGCTTAAATATGATTATGGTCCTGCAAGGTGATACTTGCTAAAATACCTAAACCTTTTTTTGTTGTTGTAACTGAATCATTTTTAAAAAAAATTTATAAAGCTGGAAATGATCAAATGCTGTTTTTTTCATTGTCAACAGTGGTGTGTCATTTTATGTATGTTCCTAATGCTTATGGAACTCTCCCAAAATAAAGTTATTCAAAAAGAGCAAATATACCAGTGTGTTTTCTTTAGTCTTATTTCAGAACATTTCCTTACACTGAAGCATGAGTCATTTTAAATATAAGCGGCATTTGCACATAAATTTCTAATTTATACAGCTTTAGTGAAATTGACTTAAACCAAACTGCTTTATTTTCTATTCTACCATCCAACAAGAAGTTGGAACACGGAAATGGTATCTTCTGATTATGAATTAAGTTGACATAATAATGCTACACCCCGTCCAATCCAGTGCTCCATGGGTTGATCCGAGGGAAGAGTCATGGCAATCACAAAATTTGTAGAATGTCCAGTGGTGGATAATGTTCCTCTCCGCTCACTTGTCTTATACAATGGAGCAACATAACTCGGTCGTTCTGGTATGTCTACCCTCTTGCAGGGCTTTAGCCACATCTGGAAGAAAATGCATAAAACTTCACGTCAACAGTGTTGATATTTACATTTGAACCTAATAGCAGGGTATTGTTAAGTTAGTTCTATATCTGCAAATTTCTATGGCCCAAATAGATCTTTTGTTAGCAGTGCTTCCATTCTCAAGGTATTTAATTTGCAGTTGTTTTAGCATTTTTTATAACTGAAGTATAATTAACAGTGTTGTATTAGTTTCAGGTATACAACATAATGATTTGACAATTCTGTACCATCACTCAGTGCTCACCAAGTAAGTATACTTCCCCCAATGTCACTGACTGACTGTACTCACCATATGGGTGTGTTTTCACATATCGGGGTGTTTTCATCTCCACATTTATTTTATAACTGGAAGTTTGTACCTCTTATTCCTCTTTATTTCACCCACATCCCCCCTGCCAACACACCTCTCCTCTAGCAACCACCAACTTGCTCTCTGTATTTAAGAGTCTGGTCTTTTTTTTTTTTTTTTTTCTTTGTCTTGGTTTCTTCATTTGTTTAAGATTCCACATGAGTGAAATCATATGGTATTTGTCTTTCCCTGATATACCTTCTAGGTCCATTCATGTTGCTGTAAATGGCAAGGTCTCATTCTTTTTTATGGCTGAATAATATTCTATTCTGTATGTTATGTATATATAATATACATGTACACATATACACACACATATATATAATATATGAGGAACCTCCATACTGTTTTCCATAATGGCTGCACCAGTCTGCATTCCTACCAACAGTGTACGAGGGTTCCTTTTCTTCCACGTCTTCACTAACACCTGTTTCTTTTTGATTCTGGCAATTCTGACAGGTATCAAGTGATCCCTCATTGCGGTTTCATTTGCATTTCCCTGATGATTAGTGACGTAGAGTGTCTTTTCATATGTTTACCACCTGTAGGTTCTCTTTGGAAAACTATTCAGGTCCTCTGCCCATTTCTTTTTTTTTTTTTTTTTCAGTCTTGAGTTATAGAAGTTCTTTATATAGTTTAGATATTAACCCTTTACTGGATGTAATCATTTGCAAATATCTTCCCCTATTCAGTAGGTTGCCTTTTTTTGTTGGTTTCCTTCTCTATGCAAAAGCCTTTTATCGTCCCAATAATTTATGTTTGCTTTTGTTTCCCTTGCCTCAGGAGACCTATTTAGAAAATATTGCTAAAACCACTGTGAAGGAGATTACTGCCTATGTTTTCTTCTAGGCATTTTATTATTTTGGGGTCCCACATTTTGGTCTTGAATCCATTTTGGATTTATTTTGTGTATGGTGTAAGAAAATGGCCCAGTTTCATTCTTTTGCAAGTAGCTGTCCAGCTTTTTCTCAGCATCATTTTTTGAAGAGATTGTCTTTTCCCCATTATCTATTCTTGCCTCCTTCGTTGTAGATTAATTGGTCATATAAGTGTAGATTTATTTCTGGGTTCTCTCTTTCTGTTCCATTGATCCATTTGTCTGTTTTTGTGCCAGTACCGTACTCTTTTGATTACTGTGGCTTTGTACTATATTTTACAATCTGGAATTTTAATACATTCAGCTTTGTTCTTTTTTCTCAAGATTGCTTTGGCTGTTCAAGGTGTTTTGTGGTTCCATACAAATTTTGGCATTCTGTGATAAATGTTGTTGGTATTTTGATAGGGATTGCATTAAATCGATAGATGGCTTTGGGTAGTAGGGCATTTTAACTATTCTTCCAAGCCATGAGCATGGACTGTCTTCCCATTTGTGTCATTTTCGATTTCTTTGGTCAAAATTTATTCCTAGGTATTTTGCTCAAAAGATTTTTTTCTTAGTGCTTTCAGAACTACCTTCAGAGCCTATGAGAAAAAATAGTTATTTCACCTGTCAGAAAACATGTGTTATCAATGTATTCCTCACTTCTTCACCACACTTCTCTGCGGGATGACTTTTGGCATTTACAGTAACAACATCATACATACTTTCAGAGAGAACCATCACCATTGATACTTAAACTCGTGTCACTGTATTAATTTAATAAAGGCCATTCCCCCAAAATTCTTTTTCTTCTAAGTTTTTATTTAAATTCTAGTTTAACATATAGTGTAATACTGGTTTCAGGAGTAAAATTTAGTGATTTAGGAGCAGAATTTAGTGAGCACCCAGTGCTCATCATAACAAATGCCCTCCTTAATACCCATCACCCGGTTCGTCCATCCTCTGCCTACCTCCCTTTCAGCAATCCTCAGTTTGTTCTCTATCATTAAGAGTCTCATGGTTTGCTTCCCTCTTTTTCCCATACTATATGTTCATCTGTTTTGTTTCTTAAATTCCACTTGTGAATGAAATCATATGGTATTTGTCTTTCTCTGACTTATTTTGCTTCACATAATACGCTCGAGCTCCGTGTCGTCACAAATAGCAAGATTTCATTGTTTTTGATGGCTGAGTAATATTCTGTTGTGCATACATACCACATCTTCTTTATCCGTTCATCAGTCAGTGGACACTTGGGCTCTTCCCATAGCTTGGCTATTGTTGATAGTGCTGCTATAAACATATAGCAGAAAATTCTGAAAGGATTTTGTCAGTTATTCTAGAACTAGATGGCCTCCCCATTTTAGGTGACTGTTTTAAAGGGGTTATAATGTATATTGTGCTGTTCATTTTCTTAACAATTTTTTTAAAGTTTACTTAGCACACGTGTGCACACACAAGCAGGGCAGGGAGAGAGAGAAGGAGAGAATCCCAAGCAGGCTCCCTACTGTCAGCACAAAGCCTAACGTGGGGCTTGATTTCAAGAACCATGAGATCATGACCTGAGCTGAAATCGAGTTGGATGCTAAACCAAGTAGCTGAACTACTCAGGCATCCCATTGTGCTGTTTAAAACCTGCCTGCATTTCTTTATAATATACCTACATTATTTTTAGAAAGTCATTAGCCAAGTTTCTAGAATGTTAAGCACTGTTAAACCTAACCAATCTCAAAAAAAAAAAAAAAACCTCTCTGAATAGAAAAGAACAAACTATGTTCATAATGATGAAATAGTGTTCTGTTTCAAAATCTAATTGAGTTCCTTTTCCCAGTAACAGCAGCAGCAATGCTTGAGAGGACATGGCATGACAGCCCCACTGTTCACAGCCTCTTTTAAAAAGGTTTCTCAGGTCAAAATAAATATATGAGGGAGTTAGTGTGGATGCTAGCCTATATTTTGCCCACATTATTGTGGAATCCATCAAGCAGTTTTTTCGTATATAGTTAAATTTAAGGACTCAAGGTGAGTGTATTCATTTCAGCCAAGAACGCATTTTCTTAATAAGAATTTTTCTCCCTAAGTGACTTCCTTATTCTGGAGATCATCCATGTATAAACCCCTTTTGTATTCATTGTAAGCTACCTTAAAAGAGTTTTTCATGTAATAGAAAAATGTTCGATTCCAATCAACTCCTAAAATTACAAACAATTGCCCTGTGACTTTGAATTTTGGTCTCATATTTGAAACTCTCTGCCCATACCTAATAGCATATGTGGCAGGGTTTGTTGCAATTGGCTCTACGCTGGTCCCTCACTGTACCTGGTAGAGCTGCTCTGAGGGATGTTTGCCTGTCGCTAAGCTGTTCCCATTGTCCCACAAATAGTCCGTGTAAATCCACAGCCCATATTTTATTACACCATCCCAGACTAACCTTTTGAAGTGTGTGAAAATCTGTCCGGTCATTTTCTCATGATGCAGTAACAGATGGAAACAATATCTTACATAGCTTAGTTGGCCCATGCTGAAGATAGGTTCCTAGGAAACTTAAGTTTTTATGTGGATGATTTTCATATACTAACCTTTTAGTCTGCAGGTTTCATTTTTAAGTCAAGGTATATATACAAATATCCATGTATTTGTATGTGGATACATATATAGTCAATCCTCATTCTTCCTGGATTCTGTGCAAATTTCATTATTGCTAAAATTTATTCATCACCCTAAAATCAATACTCTGTTTTATGATCATTCACAGGCATGCTCAGAGTCTCAAAAAAATGTGAGTCACCAGACAAACAGGTTCCCAGCTGAGTTTGAGTCTGTTGACATTCTGCTTTTCTATTTCACCTCTTGTAAATAAGTTTCCTTTTAACGGTTTATTTAATGCCAGGTCTTTTGCATTTTGTTATTGGTGGTGGTGGTGGTGTCTCTCTGTTTAAAATGGCCCCAAGCCTAGTGTCCAGGTGCTATCTAGTGTTCCTAAGTGCAAGAAGGCTGTGATAGGCATTAGGGAGAAAATAACTGGAGACTTTGTTCAGGCATGAGTTACAGTGTTGTTGTTCGTGAGTTCAATGTTAATGAATCAACAGTATATATTAAACAAGCATTTTTAAACAAATGCAAAACAATGTCATGTCTTGATCAGTTAAAAATGTGATCAGAGGATCATTAGAAACTTAACTTTGTATTTCTCCTAGGAGCTATGGTTTCACATTCACTAATTCAGTGTTGGTAGGAACTTTATAAAATGTAATTACTATAAATGAGAATTGACTCTGTGTGTGTGTGTGTGTGTGTGTGTGTGTGTGTAAAATAGTGCTCCCCCCCAATATTAGAATATCAAGTACTAACCACAGGCACTGTATCAT